AAGCAGTTTGCTTGTCCTCAGAGCTAGGAAGGAGATTTCCCAAATACGTGGCTGTTATGCAGATGTCTGGCATGTTTGGGGCTGGTATACCCAGAACACTTCATGACCCAATGGTCATGAAGATCATGACCATGATCTGACCATGATGGGATTAAAAAATTATACAAAAAATATCCTCCAAAGAGTAGGCCAGATGACCTATGTCCTTGTCTTTTTGATGATCGTGGAGATGGGACTTGCCAAAGAAAAATTCTTGCCAAAAAAAAAAGTTCTTCTTCTGTTTCTAGTTTTCACTTCTGGACCAGGCTGGTAATCATACATTCTGAAGCACAGCTGTATTGGAGATGTATGCACAGACTCATTGAAACACAGCAGTTATGAGTTTTGTAGTTGGCACTTGCAAACACATCCCTCTCTGTATAGGAAATGTCTATTCCCTCAAAGACGTGCCTTGGTGGAAGATCCAGCTGCTTTTATCTCCCAACTTTTTGTTAACCATTGCAGCAGTAAAGGCTCTGGAGGAACAGAGAAGGTTGATTGCCCTTAGTGGAAGACTGAGATACAGGTTGTGGGCTGTGCAAGGTGCAGATTAATTGATGGTGGAGAAAGTGCTAGGATGATCTTGTTGAGTTACCGCGGAGGCTTGTGGACAGGCAATAAATATTGCTGCAGTAGTTCACAGGTCTGTTGTAAAATTACATTTATTTTTTTATATCTGTTAAAGGTAGGATCCATCCAGCCCAGCATACTACCTTCTATAATGAGCACAGATTGATGAAAAAGGAAAAGCAAGAACAGGGCAAGCCTTTATTACACCTTCATACAGGTATTCCTTACGGTTCTGCCTCAGAAGGCTTCCTGTGTCTGTTGTGTTGCATCTGTCTAGTGGTTCTCAATAGACCCCTCCTTCAAGTGTCTGTCTTGAAACTTATCTGATCTGCATCATCTATAACATGAAAATGAAGAAGTTCCACACATCTTTCAGCTGCTGCATGGGGAACCATGTCCTTTTGTTTGATGACAATCTAGCTCTTACCAGCTTCACTGGAGAACATCTAGGTCTTGAATCAGAAGAGACAGTGAACAGTAGATTCACTCTTTCCATTCCATTCAAGATTTCACAGACCTATATCTTACCTTCTTTACACCATCCCTCTTATATAAGCTGGAGATAATCCATTCCAGTCATTTGTAGTGATAGAAGCCACAGAAAGTGCCATTAACATATCAAATGTTGCCTCAGAGTAAGCTCAAAAAAATACACATAAAAAGAAAGTATAGGGATGCCTTTGAAATACCTAAAGACAGACTGAAGAACTGATCGTTTCATAAAGTTCATCCTTTCTGAATAAGGAAGCAGATGAGTGGAAAAGGAAGCAGAAGAAACACTCTGATTGTGTACTGAAATGGTACAGCAGGATGCACTCTCTCAACGCTCCCAGTTAAAATTTCCCCGAAACATGCTCGAAGTGTCTGCCAACAATCCATTGCTCACTTTGCAAGCTGGTCTGCCAGAGAGCCCATGGCTTCCCTGACACCTGGTTTCTCTTCTCCTAACCAAGTTATGTTCAAATACTGTCCCTGTGGTTTTCGGTTAATTTGCTGGACTCTTCACCCACCTTCAAGATAACAATATTGACTACAATAAAGAATATTTTATGGTATGGTATGGTATGGTATGGTATGGTATGGTATGGTATGGTATGGTATGGTGTTACTGCCCACTGTTTAGAGTTACTTTCAATGGTACAATGGAATTATCACTCCCAAAATCTCTCAAAATTGATACAAAGTTCTGGAGAAAGGAAAATCAGCAAAAATTTGCTGATAGGGAAACCAGACAATGAAGAATTACTGTAATTTTTCTCTCATTCACAGGGTTCTCTCTTAAAAGCGAGAAAAACTCTTGTGTGTTATCTCTGCCCACAGCAAGTGAGGGGAGAGAAATAAACAAAGGAAATGCCCAGTAACTGAATTCACAGAAGCCTCTAGGAAATGAAGAAGGACTGAAGAGGGTTTGACAGGCATGAAGAGAAAAAAGAGGAAGACCTTCTCTTTGACTGGCAGAGATGCCTCCCTCTGACTAAGAAGATTGCAGAGAGTGGCTTTTTAAACTCGAGCTCACGCAAAAGAGCAACACTGGTTTGAAAGAGAGAATGGAGATGAACCATAAGATGATAAAGCATCAATAGGTGAAAAGCTGCTGGAAAATATGGTCTATTAAAGTTGCCATCCAATTTGTGTATTTGTCTTTCTCTCTTTGGTACTTTACACTACATGGGGGCCTGAAATTTCATAAGCCTCAGTCCTTCCCAAAGTTGAAACTTCCTCTTGGAGAGGGGCGGTTTGCTACAAGAACTCTTCACCACTACCCTTTCTTTTGCAGTAGAGCAAAATCAACTACTGACTGAGGAGCTGAGTGCCTTTAATCCAAATGAGAGACATCAGCAGGGCATTTCAGTTCACTGAGTCCCCAGGGACTTACCAAAGAAAAGGCTCAATGAATAAATGCTCTGATCCCTGTAGTCCAGAGATGGATGCTATGTCACCCCAACCAAAAGGGGCCCTTAACTTCTAAGAAGGAGAGAAGTAACACCAAGCTCTTCTGCAAATAGAACCAAAGCCCTGAAATATCTCCTCTTTTTTTTTTTTTTTTTTTTTTTTGCATTCCCCAAGCTTGCATAACAGTTCTGCATGTGAAATTTTAGAGAAATGAAATAATTTATGGCTCCATCTTGCTGGTCTTTCTGCAAAGTGGATTTTTTTTTTTTAATCCTGAACCCAAAACATGCCCCTGAATGGAATGTATAGAGGAAGCATAATATTTGAACAGTAATTTTGCTTTTTAAATACATTAGATCAAGATGTACTAGTAGCCCTGGTGATGGATACTTTTAGATATTTATGAAGTACAGAAGAAAAAGAAGACACTCCTTGCAAAATGAAAACTTCCATGAGTAACTCTGCAAACTCTGACACAGGGCAGGGGTTGTCGTGTTTCTCAAACTGAAATCACACCACATGCTCATAAAGGCCATGAGAAACCAAAACTGTGCATTAGAAATCCAAAACCACTGTGCTGCCCCACTCACCAGGCCATGAGAAGCAACAAAGAACAAGGTATGCTGCTTTCTTCACAGTTTTTTGGAAAGATTCCCCAAAGTTTTTCCAAAAACTCTTGAGACCATTTGAGCCTTTCCTCAATGCATGTGCTCAGTGTACTTTTAAGAATTTCCTGAAGGCTGCTAAGCACATCCCCATCCTTTACCACCTGACCTTTGTAGAGTTCTTTTACTTGCTCTCACAGCTGCTGTCCAGCCCAGAGCAGTTATAAAGCAATGCAAGCACAGCTAGTCAGAGCCCGGCTTTCAGGCAGCAACCAACCCTCTTCAGTCCCTCAGAGGCATACCCTTGTCCTCAGAAGCAGGGCCATCCTGTAGTTGCTTTGGTTTCACCGTCCTGCTGATGTCTTTGTCTGCCATTGCAGGAGAAGGCAGTGGGAGGGGAAAGAGAACATTTTTAGAACTGAGAATTGCAAGATCCTTAAAGCTTGGAAACAAGTTTGGAATCCGCATATCCATCACAAATGCTCTGTTAGTTGACCAATCAGCACCAAAGTGCTCATCCCCAGATCAGTATTTGTAAGAAGGACACCTTCAGCATGGCAATAGCTTAAGCTTTGGGCCGCTGAGATGTGTTCCATTCTCCCTTTGGTGCTACTGCAGGTCTGGAGTGAAGTCTCAGGAGTAATGTAGCTGCTGCTGGTTGTCACATTGTAGAATAACCCATAAGGACATCTAGCTCTCTGCTAGACAACACTTCTTTCTAGAGCTCAGAAATGGCACCTTATGGGGTAAACCTATTTAAGGTCCCTCCTTAAGCAACTGATGAGTTTTATTGCCCTTTCCCTCTGCCACAGCAGCAGCAGACAGGGTGAGGAAAGTTGTAGCTGCCATTGCTTGAAAAATGAAACAATAGTTGCCTGTTTTGTGAAACTGACTGCATCAATAGCAGTGGGTAAGGAGGTCTGCATGGGCACCTGACTGTGTGTTACCACAAATGTGTGGATACAGAGGAGAGGGAGGGTGGTGAGAGAGGGCTGGTGCTACTGGCCATCATGAAGCGGCTACAGCGAGACTGCCCGTGTGTTTACATCAGAGAGGCCCCCCACACAAGAGATTCAGCCCTGTGACTCCCAGGGCTCAGCAGAAGTGTGACAGGCATGGGAGACGTGGTCACAGCGCCAAAAGCTAAGTTGGAGGAAATCCCCCAAGTGAAAACAAAGACTCTGTAAGTCATTTCCTCCAAGCTGAACAGAAAGACATCTGTGTTGATCCAGCTATTACACACTAGTCACAACAAAACAATTTGCTTGCAAGCAGTATACTTGCTTTCCTCTAGACTGACAGAAACGTGAGAGATGTATTTCCACTGAACTTTACATTTCTCTCAATGAGGTTTTGCAGAGTGATAGTTTCTATAGGTCAGGCTGGGTTAGAAGAAAGAGGTAAAGAAGAGAGCCTGCGCAACATCTCACTACAGACCCTGATGTCTGAAGCTCAACCCAGGCACTTGACGGGTGCAAAAAGCCACTTCAGATGATGTAGATGTGAGTGTCTGAGGTTCGGGGTGGCTGGATGCTGCTCTTATGTATGGATAATTATGAAGGAAGGCATTGTCACTGTGGGGGCCACCGGGGCAAGAGCAGATCTGAGACGGGCATTAAAGAAGAGCAGCTGGGGGGTGAACAGCCCTCTCGGGATGGGGGAGTGCTGTGCCCACCGGCTCCCTACAGCCCAGCCCGCAGCCCCGCGAGCGCTCCCTCTCGCCGCGGTTTGAAACGAGAAATGTCCGACCGGCGCACCGCTTACACATCATTTAAAGCCAGCTGGTGCCAAGCACCTTGATTTTTGGGGAGAGTTTGCAACCCAGTTGTGTAATTTGCCTTTTTCTTGTACTTCACCGACACGATTCCGGGCAGCTTCCGCCGGCTGCGCTGGATGTGGGACACCTTCTCAGTTGATCTCCTCGCCGTGCCGCACCTGCCCCGAGCCGGAGGGGCCCGGGCTGGCGGTGCCGCTGGGCGGGGAGCGGATCCCGCGCAGGGGCCGCCCCCGCCGCTCCCTCCGCCGCTGCCCCGCGGGGAGCCTCGGTGGGACGGCGAGGAGGACGAGGAGGAGGTGCCTTCCCGAGCCGGAGCGGGGCAGTGCGGTGCCTCTCTCTCTCCCTCCCTCCTTCCGCCTCCCCTCACGCCGCCGGCGCCAGCGCTCCTTCCGCGGCGGCCGGGACAGCCAGGTAAGGAAGGCAGAGCCGGGGCTGCCGGGCACCGGGCGCTTCTCGACAGGCACCGGGGGAGTTCCTTCCTCCGCGCTCCCAGCCGAGGCTGCCCGAGCGCAGGTAGCCGGGTCCGCACCCGCAGGGACCTGTCTCGGGGGGTGTCGGATCACAGAGCCCACCACCCTGCAGCGGCCGCTGTTTGCGACTTCGGAAGTGTGGGCACCACAAGAGCGGAGGGACCGCTTCCTCGACGTCGAGGTGACACACGGACCTGTAAGCGAGAGCAATGACAAAAGCTGCCTTTTAAACGTTTGCTTAAAATTGCTGTACTTTGTGCAATATAAGGAGTTGGTATCTAGGCTGTCAAACGCATGTGAAAGCCAGCATTGCTGAGTATTTCCTTCTTCATGTGACTTTCTTCTCTCTTTCCTTACACCCATGTAACCACTGTGCTCTACTGAAATTGTTCCGCCTCGTCTCAAGGCAAAAGTTGCCTTGTGGGTGAGTTCAGTCATCCTAATAATGGCCCCTGCTTTCTGTCCCACAGCGGGGTTATCCTTTCTTGGCGGTGAATGCTCTTACAGTCCTTCGCGCTGGGATACAGCATACCTGCTGCTTGTGCAGTAAGTGACTAGACTTGCATGGTGCTTTTCCACAGGCTTCCTTTTTGCACCCTTGGAACCAGTAATTATTTGAGCTGGTAACTGAGCTTTTAGTGTAGACATGGCCACAAGCTCCCTGCTTGGAAGGACAGATGCGTACCTTACTGTGGCAAATGTTAATCTGAAACACTTAGGGTTGTTTTATGAGTCAAATAAGTGAGACTGTAGCTTGTGCAGATGGAAAAGCTGACTGTAGCAGAAATGCAGATAAAAAGGTGTCTTGCAAGTACTTGCTTCTGGAGCATTTGTTTTTATTTTAGAATAAATGTTGCTCGTACCTTGTCTGACTCTCGCACCTTTGATAGAGAGAACCCTCCAGTGACTGGAAGATGGATTATTACTTACTGCTGTTACAGAAATGTTTGAAGTATTTTGGGCCATCAAAAGCAGCACACGTACAAACAGGCTCCCAGTTAACTTGAGAGGTGCCCAGAGTGACTTTGCACACGCTTCTCTTACCTTTTGGCACACCAGCTGTGCTGCTTGGATCATGCCACCTGTGCAGAAGAGGCCCTTTGGGTGTCCTGGTCTTGTTTCCTGGGTGCTGCTTTTGTAGGTGGAGAGGTTGCTCCTGTGCAGCGTGTTACTCAGAGCCATTTGGTGGTTACGGTTTTTAAGGGGACTGCAGCAGGAAAGAGCCCAATTGCTATCAGACTCACCTCTAATAGTCTTCATGTTTCTCTAGGTTTAATTTCATATTTTTATTTATTGAGAAATTACATCTTATCATGAAATAATCACATTTATCTCTGCATTTAGTCCTTGATGAAAGAGTGCCTTACATGTTTCTCTAAATTTCTAAATGAATATTAGTATTGTTTTGAACCAAATGATTTCTATATGAGCTTGTCTGCTGAAACCACTGAAAATCGAGCAGTATGGTTATATTAGGCACCTTTTTTGTTTTAGTAAGGTAATGTCAAAGGTGTGAAAATCAAAAACATACTTCCAGTTAGATCTCTGCCTTGAAGGAACTCTAGTTCTCAGCTGCAAGACCTGATTTTATTAGCCCTTCAAAATTTATAGGAATAACACCATTTTTTCCTTTTGAATGTTAATATAGAATTTTAAAGTCTTTGAAATCTTTTTAAACTGTTGATTGCAAGGCAGGTAGAATTATGTCCTAAATTAAGTCACATTTTAATTCTTAGCTGTAGGTGTTCTGGATTTCACATTGCAATGTATCCAGTAACCTGGCTGACTGCCTACAATGGATAAAAAGAGAGAAAAATAATAGAGCTGATAAAACAATATCAGCTCCATATTTTTTCATTTTGCCCTGAAACAACATTGTATTCAGATATGCCATGATAGTATGATATCCTGTAATTAATTTAAAAATAACTGGGAAGTGGTTACTTCCAAAAAATTGTTTGGAAGCATCAAGAAGTATTCGCCTCCACCAAATATAGGTGCAACCTCTTGTAGATTTAATTCCCTCTGTATTGTGTTAGCTTATAAACTGCATGCAGAAGATAAGGTGCAATGGTGTAAGTTTCATACAAATATTTATACCTCAAATATGCAAAACACGTTCTGTTTCTTAAACAATAGAACTCTGTGCTGCCTGCTGTCGATGCAAAGATTGTAAAAAATAATCATTAGCTTTTGTTAACCATTGATGTCTAAGGTGTTTTTCTAGTTTGGTTTGGATTTTTTTCATTAAACTATTACCTATTCACTGCTGAACTTGGAACTGTGCTTTTAAAAAAGGCAGGTTTGTGTATGCCAAAAAAGCAGTTGTAGCAGTCTACAATGGCTCTCCCGGAGAAAGAGGATAAGGAAATACCGCAATAAAAATTGAAAGATATGGAAAGCAGTACTTGGACAGAGTGGAGTACATGTTGGCATGGAGAAGAAAGTCTGAGGTGGTGGATTTTTTACATTTTAAAGAACATATGAAGAACATGTATCATATATTTTTGGATTTGTGCTAGATGTATTTTTATTATTATATAGATGCATCTATTTCCACACAATTACCAATACCTTGGCTTAAAATTGTCAGCAATGATCAGTCAGGTTTTGTGCCATGGAAATTAGAATGATGATGTTCATTAAATGATCTGTAGATACCCATACTTTCTTCCATTATGCAAAATGCAGGGGAAAGACTCTCACTATGTTAGCTGCATCTTGACTGATCCTCCCACTGCAGAGGTATCAGCTCAATTTACCCTCATTATCCTGGCTAGGGCCTCATGCTAGCACTAGGCATTAGAGGTATACTGATACAATGGGGACACAACTCTCCAGAAACCAATGAAATTGGTTTAACAATGAAATTGTGTTTTAACAAATGGTCAATTAGGTCTCAATAAACGTATTTTTGTTAACAGAGGCTGTTACTTCTAAAGGCAAATCATGAGTTTACTCTGCTAGATGTCAGGCAGAGGAGCATTCTGCTCTCCTGCTTCTGGTCTGTTTTTCTGAGTGTATTTTCTAAAGGAAAAACCATTAGGAAAGAAAGGGGTATGCAATTTGAGGGAAACTAATGTTTATGTGGACACATATTCCTTTTGTCTGGTGAGACAGAAGAGGAACTAGGAAGCAGAAGCTTGTGACTGACCACTGCCCCATGGCCATTACACTGCTGGCAGTTCTCAGTCATCCCCTGCTCCAGCTGAGGCACACGGGCTGTGATTCAGAATCAGGGAAAATACCATGTGAGATAAAACCTTGAAAACCAGATAATTTCTTACACATGGGGAGATGAGTCTCATTGTAGTAGGTGCTTTGCGGGGAGGGGAGAAGGTTTTTGCAATTTCCTGGGCATGGAGGTGGGATGGAGTAAGGAGAGATCTGTTCCTTGCAAGCATTGTGAAGTGGCCACTGTGTTCAGATGGGATTGTGAAGTCTTGGGAAGAAGACTCCTGGAAGTAGGTCTGTCCATCATGGTCAGGGTTTACCTTTCTTAGGAAAAATGACATCAGCTAGGAGCAGTCTTTGGTTTTGACAATACTCAAATGTGTAGGAGAAAAATTATATTGCTTAAAAGATACCTCTTGGTTGGATGACTGTTCTGTATTCTGGGCGGTTCAGTAAAGCTCATGCCTAGCTTGGTGTGGTCCATCCTTGGTATGGTGGGCAGGAGACATGGTTTTCTGGGGCTTGCTGCAGAGAGAGGAGTTCCTCTGAGAGAGTCTGAGCCTGGCCAACAGCTGATGTACAAGAGCTGTTGTACATTGCTCTTCTGCTGAGTGAGGCCAGCCGTGTAAATCAGCTCCTGGTGACTGGAAGAAGTGTTTGGCCTTGTTTGCAGTCACAACTCCTCTTCTTAGGCAATGCACCAGCTGCCCACTGGGCTACCCTATTTCAGCTCTTAGGGTAAATATCCTGTGCAACATTAAATGCAGGAAAAAGGAGAAAAAAACCTGTAGTGTGCTGAGGTATGTGGGACCTGTGCAAAGGCTTTCTTGGCACTCCTGCTTTTACTCATTCATGCAGATGTGTGAATGGGTACCACTTTGCCACACATAGCGTATAACTTCATGTGTGCTCAAGTAGGTCACAGCTGAGTTTCCTCTCAGGAGGGGTTTTGTTTAGCCCTGTGCCTATTACAAGCTGTGATCTGACTAACTTGTAAGATCTAGGCCTTGTAAGATCTAGTTTCCACTTGAACGTGAGGCAGAAAAAGATGGCTTTGTGTGGTAAAGGAAGCAGCATCTGGGCAGGAGACTGGGACCCTGCCCTTCCAGTGAGCACACTGTATGTTAGACTGGGACAAATTCCTGACCATTTATGTTTATTAAACAAAAAAAGGATCTTGTTGGGGTTTTTGTTTTGTTTTTGGTTTTTTGTTTGTTTTGGTTTTGGTTCTGTTTTTTGTTTATTTGTTTGTTTTTCTACACAGGATAGCCACATAACTTGCCATCAAACTCAGGTGATATCTGACCTTTTGTTTTAGCTGAATGTTGTACACCTGTCCTAGGCAGCCCTGTGCACAAATCTTTTCAGGTTAGCTGTGCTAGCCTGTGGGATAGGTGAGATAATCATAATACATAAATTCTTAATGTATTCGAGGTTGCTTCTTGTCCTGTGAGTTACAGGATGTCCTATATCACAGGCTCAAGCTCCATATCCTGACAGAAAGAATAACTGTGTGTGTTTTCCCTACCTCCCCTCCCCAATTATGAACATCTCTTCCCAGCTGAAGTTCCAAACCAGATCAGTTCCCAGTGGCAAGATGGGACGAGCAGAAGAGGGGGGGCCTCACCCACTCTGGATTGTGTGACCCTGTGGGGGTCTGTTTAATCACTGGGAATTTTGGGAGAATGACAGGTGAAAGGGTGTGAGAGCAGTGAGAGGAGGGCCGTCGTTCTGTGTCAGGGCTGCAGATGTCTCCTCTGTCATCCCAGTGGCTTTCTCTTCCTACCAAGGCACTCTCACCAAGTGTGAGGGGGCTTACAGTTATCTGATTAAAAAAAAACCCACCAAACCAAACAACAGTCATGGGAAAGAAGCAAAATTCTCTCAATTTTGTTTAGTACTTTTCTGCATCTTTTAAGCTGAAACTAATCTGAAAGTCAGTGTGATGCTGGCACTCCCCATGAAAATCTGAGACCTAGCCATAAAGGACTGTCTTATCTTACCTTTGCAGTGCCTTAACTTTACTCCTTGTAATTTTGACTTCAACAGGAGTAGATTGTGGCAGCCCAATTCTGGTAATGCCTCTTCTGTAATATCCTTGTGTCTCACTATAAATAACCAGAGTGGAGTTATATACCATCAAGAATTAGTGACTGCACTGCATGTCTCAAAGACTTTAAGCTGAATGTTGTTCCTTGAGACAATAAATGTCTTGTAACACCTGACAAGTGCCCTTATTCCCTGTTTAACTCACAGCAGTTGAGACAGCTCAATATCTGAGAACTGACATCAAGGAGAGCAGAGGTAACAAGCTGCTTTACTAGAGATGCTCACTACCTTGCATTAGCAAGAGGAAAGGGAAAGCATGAGGC